GGACCCGGTCCTGGTTAAGGTAATGCAGTAACCCTCATTGGGCACCTGTAGCATGTAAGGATACTGCAGTTGGCCCATCCTGTGACCAGGTGTTGGAACCCTGCAGGGGCTGCTAATTGGTTCCTGGGCATAGGTGGCAGTTGTTAGCTAAGCAAAGGGAGTGGGTTCAGGCCCCGGAAGGGTCTGTCTTGGATCTGAAGCTCTAGGAAACAGCCATGCCTGGGCAGATGACTTGGGCTTCAGTTTCTTGATAAAGCCAGGAAGAAGGGTGAGTTTGGGCACTGATCCAGAGGGGTGCATCCTCATTACTTGGGACATTAAACTACCTAGCACAAGTGACTAGAGAACAGATGAGGAATGCTGTTGTATTTGCAGGGAGAGGGACTTGGGTTTTCATGGATCTTTCCCGTCTCTAAACATCTCTGTGGGCCGGTCCATAGACCAGTTAGGTCAGCTTAACTATGTTGCTCAGGGCTGTGAAAAACATCATGCCCTGGGCAATAGTTAAGATGACCTCAGCCCCACTGTAGACACCATTAAATGCAACGACTGCCTCTCAGAGAGGAGGGTTTACTACAGCAAGGGGAGAACCCCTTCAGCCACTGTAACATTACACTACAGCCGCAGCAATTCTAGTGTAGACAGCCTGAGGCCATGCAAGAGGGTGCATTAAGCAAACTGCCCCTGCTGGGGAGCAGCAGGGTAATGGTTACCAATAACAGCACTTAAAGGGACACTTGCAGGTCCAATTTACACCCAGATGTGGGATTTAGTAAAAAGCTGTCACAAACACAGAGGGGACAGCGATATTTCCATGATGTGTTCAGTGTTTGTTTCTCATTCCAATGGAAAGAGTTTCTTTTTAAACAAACCAGTCGTCCCCCGTGGCATTGGCTGAGCCAGCGCATGACGAGCCAGGAAGGGAAATATGCTGAAGAGTGCAGTGACAATGACAAGCGTGTTTGTGCAGCCGGGCCGGGGGAGAGGCACAAAGTAGCAGAACCTTATGAACCAGGAGGAGTTTTTTCGATGGCAAACAGCCAGGTTTAATCATCTCTGGGAGTATTAAGGCAAGAGGGCCAGATCCAGGGCTGCATACAAAGTGCAGCTCTGGTGTGGGGGCAGAGGGGGAGGGGGAGGGGGATTTCAGCTACCCCAGTGGATGCCCCTGTCCTGGGGCTGACAGCCTCTGTGGGGCTCTACTCTATGCCAGCTGCCAAAGGTGCTCAGTGGTTATATGCGGAGGGCATGCCCCCTCCACGGGGGGCAGTGGTGCATAGGAGCCAGGGTGGCAGTCCTGGACTGACCGACGAGTCCCGTCTCTGTGGATCGATGCTGTGACTGTCATGCAGTGGAGAATCTGGGCCTGGCTTTTAACCTGGCAGCATCCCTGGACGGGGCTGCAGAGCCACACCCCACCCAGGGGGCAGGGAACGTGCAAGATGCTGCTGGCTGATGCTCTATAGCTGCATGAATCGGCATGTGGACCCCAAACCTGGTCTCTAGGCCCTCAGGTCATGAGTCGCTGCATTCATCAGGGGAATGAACTTCCACGGCTCTGCCTGCAGCGGCCCACCTGTTGTGTCTCCCCCCAGCGCCCCTTTGGGAAATCAGGCCCTACTTGTGGGGAGCCTCTTATTGCCAAGGGTCCATGCTGCCCACCGGGAGAGAGACTTCTTCAATCTGGGGCATGAAGGTGAAAAGCTGATGGAGAAGCAGTCACACAGCCCCAGGCAGATACAAGACACCTGGGACATGACTCCCCAGGCAACGCCTCTGCAGCCATCCAAAGGGGTTCTGCCAGCACTGGCTTCTGGCTCCTCCCTCACATGGGTTTCACCCCTTGCCATAGAAAGGAGCACAGAGCAAGACCCTCTGTCTGCTCCCTCTCCCCCAGACCTCGAGCTGAGTCACCAGGCCACGCACTACAGAAGAAGGCATGAAATGAAGCCAAGAGCGCTGTGCTCTCCGCGCAGGCAGCTCACGGGATGTGGTCTTGGCCGTACATCCCCCCGCCAGCATACTGACAGGCCTGGGATCTCTAGGTGCAGATGAGGGAGAGGGCAGTGAAGGGGTGAAAATCATGGCAATGGAGTTCAAAACAAAGTCTGGAATCTGGGGCGTGTCTGGTGCTCAAAATAAAGGGCTGACTTTCCATATTTAGTCCAAATAAACACAGGCCAGGCTGGGAGCAGGGAGCTGCCAGGCTGGAGCCTCCCAGTGCAGACCCAGCCCAGATGCCCACATGGGAGGCAAGACTGAGCCAAGAGACCCCGCCCAGCCCTTGTGTCACCACAGCACCCACCAGTCCCAGGCTTTCCGCAGGCACTCACAGGGACCCTCCTCATCCCAGCCATGGCCCTTGGGTAGCTTCTGCTGACCCAGAGCCCCCAGGTCCTGCCCTGCCCACGAGCAGGGGGAGGAGAGAGGGCAAGTGCTGCTAGGAGGGGGCAGCATCCTCCTAGGCCATGTGAGCAGCTGGCAGGTTGCCATGGGGACAGCGACACCTGCAGATCAGAGCACATTCCCTTCCCACGGCACTGAGGGAGCCGCCCTCTCTGCACAGCCTGACCCCGATACAGAGACGAGGACAGAAGCAGCCCTGGATCTAGCTCCCCACCCCTAACCCCAGCCCCAGTGGGTTATCTCAGTCTGTCTCACTAACCCTCCCTAGCCTCACAGCCATACCCCCATCCTCTCACAGCCCCCCAGCCCCCAGATATGCAGCTGGCCCAGCCCAGTCTGCCCAGATGCCTGCCCAGCCATGGGCGCTCCCCCACTCTGCTGCCAATCTGCTTCCGGCCCCCCCCCACGATCTTGTTCTGGGCCAGAACAAGAACTTGGAAGAGGGCCCCTTGTTCAGCCTGACTCTCGCAGGGACAGTTTCCACCCCACTCCCTAGCAGGGCACCTCCCCATGGCCTAGCACTGAAGAGGCTGCTGGGGCTTGCTCACCCTCTCACAACAGCAAAGTATGGAGGGGTACAGGAGGGAATGTAAAGACCAGCTGGCTGTCACTGCTAGCCGTTCCCCCCGGCCACTGAGATCTGGGAATGCCCTCAGAGCAGGGCTGCTATGGGAAAGGCAGCAGGATGGGGTGGTCCAAGCATAAGCTGTTCTTGCCTCATGCCCCCAGCTCAGCACGTGACTTTCAGTGAATCACTGATATCCCCAGATCTCAGCTTCCTCTTCCAACACTGTGACCTCACTGCATTAATTAGTGTTTTAAAACACACTGAACACCTGACAAGCCACTAAAGCGCTATAATTACCCAGTTAACAAAGGTGTGCCCCTGCCCCCTCCCATCCCATCGCCTTCTATTGGTAGAATCAGAGCACCACAGCTGTGTGTCATGATCCCTGTTTTACTCACAGCTGCTGGCGATTCTCCTTTAGCTCACACAGAGGGGTAGAAGGAGCAGAGTTCTATACCTGGTTGTAGCCCTGTGATTTCAAACGGCCAGTGCAGCACAATAAAGTCTTCAGGGGCCACAGGTTTGTTTCAACATTTCAAATTGTCTTTTGGTATCTTCTACAGCATCCACCCATGCCGTGCCACTAATAACCCCCCTTCTTCCCCTGCTGCCTTTGGACCTGCTCCTCTTTGGTTTTGTCCTTGGCCGGCTGTTTGGATTCTTGCAATTTGTACTGCTCACCACACTGTGGTATCCGGGTACCAATACCATGCCGTCATCGCCAGACAGACAGACAGACGGGCAGGCTCTTCTCCCCATTAGTGCACTGTGATGTGGTGTGGCAGCCCAGTACAAAAATCATCAGGCATCTCCTGGGAGAGCATCAACCCCTGGCCATGCACACAGAGACCGTCAAACCAGAGCCTATGGGCAGCCACTCCCCAGTGCTCCCCACTGCAGAGCGCAGCCCCCCAGCTGTCTAGCCATCAGCATGGGGTTTGTAGGCGTGGGGGTGTTAAAGAGTGATTTCAAGGAGTAGCCTTGCGGGTGTTTTCAGGGCGCTCCTTCCACACATGGGCAGCATGGGAGAGAGCACGATGGCGTTGGCGGGGAACATGCCAATGGGCACTGGAGGGTGGCATGGGGCCGGGTAAGGGACAATACGGAGGGCAGGGATAGGCTAGGAGGGGACGGAGGACAAAGACAAGGCATCTGGGGAGTGGAGCAGGGGGCAGCGACACAGAGAGGAGGGGCAACAAGTCCAGGAGATAGTAGTGGGGCAGTGGGTGCCAGCAGCAGCCAGCACAGGCTCAGTCCCCCGAACAGGCAGCCCCCCAGGTCCCCCCCCAGCACAGGCTCAGCCCCCCAGGTCCCCCCCGGCACAGGCTCAACCTCCCCAACAGGCAGCCCCCCAGGTCCCCCCCAGCAGCGCAGGCACAGCCCCCCGAACAGGCAGCCCCCCAGGTCCCCTCCGGCACAGGCTCAGCCCCCGAGGTCCCCCCCGGCACAGGCTCAGCCCCCCGAACAGGCAGCCCCCCAGGTCCCCGCAGGCACAGGCTCAGCCTCCCGAACAGGCAGCCCCCAGGTCCCCCCCAGCAGCGCAGGCACAGCCCCCAAAACAGGCAGCCCCCCAGGTCCCCCCCAGCAGCGCAGGCTCAGCCCCCAGAACAGGCAGCCCCCCAACCCCTTCTCCCCGGCGCGGACTCCCTCCCCCCAGCCCCTGCCCGTCTCCCCCAGCGCGGGCTCAGCCTCCAGAACAGACAGCCCCCCATGCCCTCCCGCCAGTGCGGGCTCAGCCCCCACAATAGGCCGCCCCCCAACATCCATTCCCTGCACAGTACAGCGTGCCCCGCCCCGCAACCCCCGGGCACGGGCATGGGCATCTCCCTAGCTCAGCCCCGCGCCTCTCAGAACTACGCGCCCCAGAATGCCGCGGGCGGGGCGGGGCTCTGGCTCGGGGCGGGGAGGTCAAGGAATTGAAATGAGCCAATGGAGAAGGAGAGTGAGCCGGATTGGGCGGTCCGCGCCCGGTGACTGGTGGGAGTGGGTGTGTGGGCGGGGCTGCCGGGTGGGGGTTGGGGCTGGTGCGGCGGCTGCGGCTCAGTCCCAGCTGCGGCAGGAGCGGAGCGGAGCCGGGACGTGGCCGGAGCTCATGGCCTGGCCGAAGCGACGTTACGTGAGGTGCGCAGGGCAGCGCTCCGGATTAGAGGGAGGCAGGCAGGCAGGCACCGACTAATCCGGATTGAGGGTTTGGAGAGGCAGCGGCCGGTGTGGGTTAAAGGACTGGCCGTTCCTAGTTGAGCATGGGGGTGGTGCTCTCTGATCCGGATTAAGGAATTAGTGGATCTGGCTAATTGGGGGAGGTCGGGTGATCTCTAATCTGGATTGTACAGTTGGGGAGACTGCCAAATCTGGATTGGGTGCTGTTTGCTAATCCAGATTAAAGAGGGAGGGGAAAGACTCTGACCAACCCCTCCCCCCCAACCCAAACAAACCCAGAAGTTGGGAAAGTCTCTCATTTAAACCTATCCCTGGCTCGCTGGGGGCAAACTATTCCAGAGCTGTGCCCTCTGGGTTTTTCCTTCCCTTCCTTAAAGCATCCGGTAGTGCTACTGCCAGGGATGAGCTACTTGTCTGATCTGGTTTGGCAGTTCCTACTTCCTTTAGCCCTTTCTGGATGGGTGGGGACATAGAACCAATCTGCATTAAGGAAATCTGGGAGCCCGGCCAGTCCCAGTGTAGGACCTGGTAGGAGTGGGTGTATAGGCAATGGAACCTTTCACCACAGGACTAGTTTATTTGGATCTGAGACAAGGCATGCCTGAAAACGGCTAATGGCTATTTGGTAGTTTATGTGAAATGCGTTTGTCCAGTCCCCTGTGGACAAATAGTCGCCTCACAGCTGGGGCTAGCTGGTGACCTGAGTTGGCTGTATCCGCAGAGAGACCATGGATGGTATCTGAGCTCTCTGTTGCCCCTGAGCAGAGTCCTCCACTTTGTTTAGTAGCCTGATGACTTTCACCAGCACTAAACTCTGAGGGCAACAAATACAATGTAAATTAACAGGTTTCAGAGTAACAGCCGTGTTAGTCTGTATTCGCAAAAAGAAAAGGAGTACTTGTGGCACCTTAGAGACTAACCAATTTATTTGAGCATAAGCTTTCGTGAGCTACAGCTCACTTCATCGGATGCATTTGAGCTTATGCTCAAATAAATTGGTTAGTTTCTAAGGTGCCACAAGTACTCCTTTTCTTAATGTAAATTAAGACACCTGGGCAGGGCTGGGGAAGTTGGCCAGCACTAAAAAGGTGGGTATACTCGGACCAGCCAACCCACAATAATAAACTGGGAGTAACTGATGTGAATGGCCACTTCTCTTTCTGGTTGTAGTTTTTGATGCCCAAATATTGTACCTCTCTGAGGTGGAATGTCTCTTATTTTGGTTTTAATAAGATCAAACTGTATTTGGGGAATCTCTCTCCTCTTGATCAGAATGTAGGTGGTGTGTGTATGGGTGGGGAGATGCAGGCGGATGGTGTCTCTGGATAAATAAACTGGGGAGGAAGTGAGGTTAAGGGGTGCTGGCAGATCTGGATGCATGAATGTGGGGTGCAGAGCTGGAGACATAGTAGGAAGCTTTGTGTGAGTGGAACGGATGCATTTAGCTCAGGCTCTGCCTCTGGCAGAGCACAGCGTGTTGGTGATGAACTTGGAGTAGGCTGTGGTTCGCTTTCAGAGTGACTCTTTTTCCAGCACTGGGATTAACAGCCAGTGAAACAGCTGTAGGTTGATCCCATTTGCCTTTCAGCAGAGGTTTAATAAATCCAGGAACCCCTTTGCAGCTTCGCTGACACGCCTGCAATCTGTTCCTTTGCAGAATTCCTTCTGTGAGCTGGCAGACCAGTACAGAACGGGGCCTGACCCAGCCCTACGACCCGCTCCCATCTGCTCACTTCCACGCAGCATCCAGCCCTGAGAGCTGCCCAGAACAGTGCAGTGACTGAGACCAGGCCTGCCTGCCTGCGTTTGGAGTGAAGGGAGGCAAGCATGTCTGAAGAGAACCTCCTGAGCATGGATGAGGGAGCCCTCCGGAAACTGGTGAGTCCCTCCTGAGGTGCAGCCCCATGGGAATGTGTGTGTGTACCTCGTCGGTAGCTCCTGACCTTGGTGGTGTCCTCTCTGCAAAGCGCTCAAACCTTCCCTGCTGAAAGAAAAGAGAAACCACTGTTAAATTCACCTTTCTGCTTGAGCCTTTCCCCTGACAGCATGGCAGCTGTAGCCCAGGGTGGCTGGCTGAGCACTGGGGCTCTCTGGGTGCCTGGGAGTATGTGTCAGGTGTTCAGCTGTAATCAGGATGGGGCGAAGAAATGGAAACCATTCCTGTAATTTCCAAAGCACAACCTGGACAGGACGTATGCACACCCTGCTGCTGCCAGGGTAAGGCCCTGGCCACTGGGGTTGTGGCTCTGTTTCTGTTTGCACTGTAACTGTTGCTGGGCTGGAAGAACTCAGGTACAGCCCTGCCATGCTTCGGTCTTGCAGTGTAAATGGGACCTTTGTGCACCTAGGCTTTGGCACAGTTTGGGATCTGGCTGAGACCAGTTCTCTCCCCATGGCGGAAGCAGATCAATGCAGTGGCTGTTAGTGTAGACGGCCTTTCTTTGAAACTGGTTTCCTAGCTGCTGGCTTGCTTGGTGCCTGGTGGTGGTGCTGTGCGCTATGGGCAGGCCGATCAGGTGAGGTTGGCTGGCACAGCTAGAGGGGTTGGGAGGCTGCTTGTTTGTAACTCAGTAGGTAAAACATCTCTGCCTGCTCTCCAGAGACCCCCCTGGGCCTGGGAATGGCGTGAACGTGGCTGAAGCTAAGCAGTGCTAGTTTGTACTCAGGCCTGGGCGTAACAGAAGGGTGAGCGGTCCTAGCCCCCTGCTGTGTGGGGTGGGGGCGATGAGATGGGGCAAGTCTAGTGGAATAGCCTGGCCTGGCCGGCTCCCTGAGCCTGGGCCTACGTGGGGATGCTCCATACTGTGGGGCCTGAGCGAGCTGCGTCTGTGGTCCCTGTGTTTGGAAACGGTCGCTGGCTGCAGGGCCGGTTGCCCATCGCACGAGTGACTGGAGATAACAGTGACTGACCCCTGGGAGCGCCCTGTGTGAGTGCCCGCTTTGCATCCCTGGCTGCATGCTGAGCTCTTGGCTAATGGGGGCTCTGGGGTCACTTCCTGGTCTGTGGGACTGCGAGCTCTCCCCACTGAGCCAGACGCATTGGGCTCCAGCCACAGCTCCCATGAGGGCTCTTTGCGGCCTTTCTTCCCCCGTAGGGCTGAGTGAGGTGGGGAGCGCCAAAGCATGTTGACCCAAATCTCCTCAGGCGGCTGCTGCTGCTTGCTCCCATGGGGGGCACAGGGACACTGGGGGATCAGCTCCTGCCCATGCCGAGCCCCCACCACCAGGGCCTGATGATGGGGCACATCCATAGGCAGAGAGAGCGGCGGGTGCCCAGTGAGCAGCAGGGTTAATGCTTGCTCTCTGAGGAAGCAGAGCTCTGCCACTCCCTGCCTAAATGTTGGCCGCGTGGGGGCCCGACCCCCTCGTTCTGTCACTGGGAGGGGAGAGGGCTGCCACTCCCCAGCTCTGTGCCTGGCATGGGGGGGCTCCACTGTAGCTCTGGCAAGCTCGCTGTCCTGTTGCTGCTGACCATATCCCTGGCCTTGGGATCAGTCCCTTCTGCGGGCTTCCCCTGCCCCAGACCCAATCTGCCACTTGCTCCGTTGCCTTGCCCAGCTCAGCTATGGTGCTGAGCCGCCACACGCTCCCAGCCTGTGCTCTGGGCTCCTGCTGCCAGGGCCAGATGTTCATGCTGTTGCTTGTCACCTGCCTTGTGCTTGTCTGGCTCTGGTCTCTGTCTTCTGCCCGCCCAGGTGGCCTTGCCCTGCACCTGGGACCTGCTTTCTGTGGCTAGAATCCAGTCACAGCAGGAAGCACTCTGCCCGCTCTCTGCAGGGCCCCTGCATTGCGGGCACCTGTCCTGGAGCAGCCAGCGCTCCCCATCTGCTCCAGCTCCCTCCCTAATGTACGCGTCGTGTTGCCTAGTGTGCCTGCGGAAGGGACGCCACGAGCTAGGGCAGAAACCTCCCATCCTCCTCCTGCCCAGTTTCTCACCCGGCCTGCTACACACACACTGGGTCCCAGGGCAAGGCGTCTGCAGTGCCCCCGCAGTAATACTCCCCCCCTCCCCCCCAGGCTAGCTGGTTTCCTCTCTGGGCGGAGCCCCCCTCCCTGCTCAGTGTATCCTGCCTGCTGGAGTGGTCAGAGAGCTCCCAACACCAGGGTGAGGAAGTGGGGGGGACTCCTGAGTGGGTGCCAGCCAGTGGTCTGCTCCAGAGCACACTGCTGGGGCCGAGGTCGGGCAGGCTGGGCTGCAGCCCATGTAGCTGAGCTTTGCTGCCCTCAGCAGGGAGGCTAGATTTCCCCCCTCCCTCCCACCAAGACTCCCTCCTGTGGGCAGTCCTGGCCCGCCAGCTGCCCCCAGCAGAGCAGCTCAGCAGGGAGTTGGCAGTGGACGCACTGGAGATTGGGACTGCGGCCAGTTGATGGCCAATCACCTGGGGTGACACACTGGGGCTGTTGCGGGGTCAAAGGCCTCCAGCGTGGGCCCGGAGAACCTGGTTCTCCGGGGTCAAAGGCCCCATGCTGCCCTCTCTGCTGTGGGGCCAGGCACAGCTGGACTGCTAACCACCCCTTCCCTCATCTTGGCTGCTGGCCTCTAGCTGGAGGGTTTGGCTCTGGCTCTCCAAAGGCCAAACTGCTCGTGAATCCTGGGAAATGGTTAACGGCAGGAAGCTGAGTCAGCCTGGAAGGAACGTCCTGTCTCAGCAGGCAGGGGGACAGGAGACCTTGCACCCCCTGGGACTCGGGGGGCCGGTGCTTGGCCTGTCCGTCCTGCATGTGTCTGGGAGCCAGCCCTTGGGAGTGCGCTCTGGGTGGCAATGTGGGGACCTCCCCGCACCCCCCAGGCTCGGCAGGGGGAGAGGGCAGCAAGAGCGTTAGAGCGGAGAGCTGCAGCGAAGAAGACTGTTGCCCCCACGGCAGGGAGCTGGGTGAAGGGATGGAGGAAGCTGGCACTAGATCAGCAGAGAGGAAGGCACAGGACAGTGGATAGAGCAGCCAGCTGGAGTGAGAGATCCTGCGGGGAGCGGGGAGCCCGGGGTGTGGCTGGAGGGTGTGACTGATCCTCTCGGGGCGGTGAGAAGCTGTGACAGTATGGAGAGCTGGCGGGGCTCAGTCGTCCAGGCCAGAGGAGATGGGCCGTGGTGGAGGGGGAGCAGGTGCTCTGACGTACCGGAGCAGTGTGGCTGAGGCATAGGAGGTGTGGGTGCAGAAGGTGAGCTCAGGATGAGGCCAGTGTTACAGCCTGTGCTGAGAGTGGGAAGGGATCAGGGGCACAGCCTGGGTTGGAGGGAGAAGGGGGCTGGGGGGCACATCGCTGAAGCAGAGTTGTGGTGGAGGGAGCAGCCATGGGGCGAGCCAGGGCGCCTGGCTTGCTAGGTAGGAGCGAGGCTGTGCTGGGAAGGCACCAGGCCCGCGCACAGCTGTCGGGAGAGCAGCAAGCCTGCCTGGTGCCAGGAGGATGAGGAGGGGAGCGATTGCAGTCAGACGCTCGTCCCTGGCTCCATGGAGGAGGGCGCTTTCCAGGTGATGCCCGGAGCGAGACCTGCAGGGGGACGTGGGAGGAGGGGGGGCTCTGCTGAGGCCTGCAGGGGATGGTGTTGGGGCAGGGTGGTGGCAGCTATTGGAGGGTTACTGGGAAGGGCAGCAGTGTGGGGAGGTAGGGGGGCCCGCATGTGATGCCTGGCTTGTGTGGGAGCCCCTTGCCCAGTGTGGGGCAGGGACTTGCCAGCGACAGCAGCTGGTGCTGGATGACTGTTTGGGAGCCTTATCTTCTCTCCAGCACAGTCCTGTGACCCTCCCCTGCCCAGCACCTGACTGCCCTCTCAGTGCCTATGGCCCTTGCTGAGCTCTTGTTTGGGTCACTGGCTGAAGGGTTTCCAGGTGCATCTGTCCTGGCGCCTGGTTCTTGTGGCCAAGGACCTGGGCTGGAGTCGGAGACACAGGTTCTCGTGTGGACTCTGGTGCTGTCTGGCTGCGTGACCTGAGTGGCCCTGTGAGGAGAGCGTCTGCCCTGCTAGAGCCTGGTGCTGGGCAGTTACTTGGGCCCTGCCCTTCTGTGTGCTTGGAGGGTGAACAGAAGAGCCGGGGCGCCCAGCTCGACCTGTTCTGAGTGCTTGGAGGTGCGGAGTCCTTGCCGAGGGCATGGCAGAGAGGGGCTTTCTTTCTGTTGCCTGGTGTAGACCACAGGTGCCCTAGCTGTGCCAGAAACCCATGTGTAGATAGGGGTCGCCCCATCTGTGCCTCAGTTTCTCCGTTAATTCTCCTCATACCCTGGGGAACCAGGGGCTTGACTCAGCTACTGATGGAGCAGCACCGTGAGCTCCTCTGCTGGAGGGTGTACTCAGAGGGGGAGAAGCATGGCTGGGGTCCCGGGATGGCTCTGTCTCCTTCTCTCTGCCCCTCCAGGGGCTCCGGGGCCAAGCTGCTCCCTCCCAATGCGGATTGTCACCTGTGCTCTTGTCTGGCCTGGCAATGGCTGCGGCGCCTGGTGGACAGGGCACGTGGGCCGAGCAGCAGGGGCTGGGCCCGGGTGTGGTGGTTAGGTTTCTCTGAGGCGTGTCACTCCCCCGATGTCTCCCGCGTGGGGCTGGAGGGGGCTAGGCGCTCTGTGGGGGAGCCCCCTTCCCAGGGGCTGTCCCCTAGCTGTGTGTTCTGCCTTGGGCAGGCTGGGAGAGGCCCCTTCCTAGCTGGCATGGGAGGAGGGATTTTTCTGCTGGCTTTTGGCTCTGTTGTGCTGGAAGAGGATTAGTCCATATAAGGAAAAACTGCCTGCCTCTCCCTGTACTTCCTCCCCCTCTCCTCAGCGCTGGCTCTCCACGCCCAGCTGCCTCTGCTCCCCTCTGCCCTAGCTCCCTTTAAACCAGTGGGTTCTTGCCCCCTCCCAGCCTTTCCGCTTTCCACCCCATGCATTCCTGAGGGGTCTGCAATGGGGT